TGAGTGTGAGTCCCACTCAGAACAACGTTATCCTGCCGGTATAGATCCCCGTACTTCCCCTGCAGTGCCTGCAGAACCTGCACACACACACACACACACACACGTACTGCTTTGTGTGCTTTGTAAAGACCTCTAACATGAAGAAGACAGAAGTCAAGCACACACAGCAGCGATCAGAGGATGATGTCTCCACACATTTGTGAGACCTTTAAGACTCTCTGATGATGTCGATGCATCGATGTGTGTGTGTGTGTGTGTGTGTGTGTGTGGTCACCTCGAGTCGGAGCCTCTGTGAAACCATTCCTATGTCTGCCGTGACGAACACCACCCTGCGCTTGCCGTCATCGACGATGAAGGCTCTGCTGTACAGACGGGTGTGTATGCCTGCAGCCGTCTGCTGAGGGTTTGCATAGCCCATCTAAACACACACATTAAAACCTTCTCAGCAGATGAATGAAGTTTCACAGTGAGCTCGAGCGTGTCTGCGATCCTGAGGTTGTTTATGTTCCTGTTAAAGTGTGAGTGGGCAGCTCGCGTCTGCAGGATCACAGACGTTCACACAACTGTGGTACCTGAACACACACATTCTCACACAGAGTGTGATCTGTGTGCCTTTCCCTTCTACGACGATGTAAGTCATGCTGGGTATAAGACGTGTTTCATGCCAGAACCCAGACTACAGACAAGGTTTTACAATCCTGCTGCTTCCAACAGACTCTATATGTTCCTGTTCACTAATGTGTTTATGACCGCTCAGCGTTCGGCACTTAGACCATAAAGATTATCAGTCCAAGCACACCCAGTCGAACCGGAGCGGCAGACTTTGGAGTTTGTTCTCTGCTGCTGTTTTCATCTGCACTCATTTACATGTCAAAGTTCTGGGTCGGCTTGACAGGAAGTTCAGAAATGTTTACGGCAGGATCCGCCCAATTCCCATCGCCTGTGGTTGGTTGAAGTTGAGGAATGTCATTCAGTTGTGAAGGTCTCGGGTGCAGCTTCCAGTGAGCAGCTCTGATGCTGCTGGAATCAGAAATAGTTTAAATGCCAGAGATCGGGTGGAGGTGGGCTGCAAAGCGGCTTGCAGAGGCAGCAGCAACTACTGACTATGAGCGCCACCAGCTGGATGTGCGCTGACACTGAGATCGTCTCTTCAGATGCGTGAGCGAGAAGTTGTGCTTGTATATTGTTAACGTGGAAAAAAATGAACAGTAACTTGGCTAACTGTTACTTCCCCAGCAGTTCTCTGACGTTCTGAAGAAGAACTCCAGAGAACTGCTGTGACCCACCTGCAGGAGCCCGGAGAACCGTTGCTCTACAGCACTTTAAAAATAACCACGAGGTCTGCCTCTGTAGAAGCAAAGCAGAAAGAACTGAGCTGTGGCTCAAGACTTTTGCACAGTTCTGTGCACATATGGGTGACTTCATGTTAAACGCAGCACGAGTCCCTGAAGGCAGCATGAGTGAGTTTGTGGTTCTGACCATAGGGACGTCAGCCGGCGGTCCGGTGCAGTCGGCTCGGCCCACGCCGATCAGGTAAGGTGTGTGCTGAGGGGGCGGAGTCTCTGGATCTGACAGGACGACAGATTTGAATTCATTATGACCTCAGATGTTGGTAATGTTTTCATACTTTAGATCTGCTGTGACAACACTGAGAATGAACCTGATTCAGTGTTTTATAATTCATCGAAAATAATCAGGCAGCAGTTTGTGCCACAAATCACTGAATCTGACCAATCACACAAAAGCAGAAGCTCAATCAGGAAGTAAACGGTACATCTGTGTTCATGTGGCGCTCTTAAAGGTGCCGGTCTGTAAACATGGCTGTTTAATGATGAGCCATTGGA